TTTTTTGTATATATATATCCTAGCTAGCTATGTGCTGCCATGAGGATGCCAAAGGAGTCGGTGTTTTGATACAAACAAGTGAACTACTGATCATGACATAGCTACTTCATAGAAGATTAATTAGTGCTTATCTGACTGACTGTAGATAGGTCTTTTGCATCAAGATATACCAACAAAAAAGCAAATGTATGTCGCGCGCTAAACTTGTGTACTGTCTATATCTTGGTTACTCTTCTCTTCGCCGCTCTCTTCATCAATTCAATTCCTTCCTCATCAGTTCCTCTAGTCCTTTTTCTTAGTCAGTCCCCGTGACGACTGATGCAGTTCTCTATCTATAATAACATACTCTGCAACTTTTAATCCTCATTTTCCAAGTAGAACCAGTAATATATATCATCATCTAGTCTTGCCAGTTGCCACCCCAGCACCTAATCTTATTCTTATGTTCAGTTCATCAGTTGAGTAGGCTGGACCCATCAAGTATGGGCCAAAGCCTTTCTCATTTCGGGTCCGGCTATTCAATTCGGGTTTGATAATAAACCCGCAACATTTTCAACCCTACGAGTACTAAAGCTGCCCAGGTCTCTCATTCGAAGTCGTTTCTGCAAATTGAATTGGGTTTCATCGACCACCACATCATCAGCCATGGCGATAGCGATTTCCAAATCAAACCTTGTTGTTGTTGTTGTTGTAGCTATTCTTCTGATTTCATGTTCAACCTTATCAATAGCGATATCAGATGTAGGTCCTTTCATTGTTGCACACAAGAAGGTCAGCTTGAACAGACTGAAATCATCTGGATCTGAACAAGTTTCTGTCTCTATTGATATCTATAATCAAGGATCTGCGTATGTATTTCTCCTTATCAGATCTATTTCATTTTATTACTAATTTTCTTAATAGCAAATTTCATTTGTGTTGTTTAACTAGAATATGATTTGGAGATTCATGTTTTTTATTCATTTCTTTCATTTGTAGTTCTTGATCAATAATTACACCATTGCCATTGTTATAATTTGGTCATCAGCATGTATATTGTTACTAGGTAAAGTTGTCACCAATCAAACTATGATATTGGCCATTCTGGTAGACACCTCTGGAATTTCAGTGTTAATCCTGTTATTGATTGAATGTCAAGGAATCTATGCTATGATATGGTGTCTTTAGATTGTAAAATGGCTACCTAGAAGATTACTCCAAGTAGAGGATAACATTTGTTCAGTTGTTCTTTAGAAAATGCATTGTGTGTGCGTTGTTTTCCATGCACAGTTGTGCGCAGTGTGCACACACAATCATAGTTGCCCTATCATTGATGGGATTAACATCTTCCTGGCCGCTCGATGAAGGAAAAATAAAAAAACCGTATCATCAGAAGGACCTGATGGAAAATGCCAATTTTTCTGTCTCATAGTATTACTGCTGATTTTGTCTATTGTCAAGTACATATATAATTTGTAAATTCTGTTAGCAGAAACGTCTCTCTTGCTTATTGTAATGTATGTGTTAGTTGTATAGCTTTGACAAGTCAGCTCACTATCAGCTATGTAGGGTCTTGTGGAACCAGACAACCCTTATTATAGTTCCCTCTGAGAAATGCCTTCCGTAATGTTTGTGAAATTATTTAATTCATTATGCTCTTCAGGTTCCAATCATATAACTTCATATAATGATCATTTTTTATATTTAGGCAGCATGTAGATTCAATCTAACTAGGGTTTTGGTCTGCCACATTAAAACATGCGGAACTCTTACTTGTGAAGTAGGGAATCTCTCATGGTTATTTGCTTATCATTTGTTGACGTTTCCATTCAGATAAGTTTGAGTAATTTGTTTGTTAACCAATCCAGGACTGCATATGATGTAAGTCTTACTGATAATAGCTGGACTCCAGACGTATTTAATCTAGTCAGCGGGAATGTTACCACATCATGGGAGAGGCTTGATGCGTAGGTTTCACTATTCCCTTAGCGTCCAATCCCTCATGTTTTTCGTTTAATTTGTTTATTACTAACTCAAGTATATATATGTACGTAATTTGTAGAGGATCTCTTGTTTCTCATTCATTTGTTCTGGAGTCCCAAGTTAAAGGCTTATTTTATGGAGCACCTGCTGTCATCAAATTCCGCATTCCTACAAAAGCAGCTCTGCAGGTACTAATCTCAGCAGCAATTTGTTTGAGCTGGATTTAGTTCAATAAGGAAAATTATAACATTGGTTACTTGATGTTAGGAGGCTTATTCAACCCCAATTCTGCCTTTGGATATACTAGCAGACAGAGCTCCAGAGAAGAAGTTCGAGTGGGTAAGTTCAAAAAATAGGCTAGAGAGACCTGCTGAGTGTGGTTTACATTCATGTTTTTTTTTTTTTTTT